GGGTGCCAGAGGAAAACTGGTGCTGGCAGCCAGGGGAAAGAAGGTCTATTGCACGAATCTCTTCATGCAACAGGCCTCTAGTGTTTTATAAAGACTGATCTTACCCTGCTAACAGCAAGGGAGAGTGAAGCAACTCATTCCATAGCTTAGGGGCCCACACCAATCTTCATAAAACTAAATTTGCACAGTATTTATTAATAAAAGGAACTTCTTCTGTCCCACCCCCTGAAAAAAAGAAAGAAAGCCTGCTTCCAGGTGGAACAATTTAATTTGGAAGCTAAACAAATATTCTCCACTCTGGCTGGAGAGAACATGAGGTCTGCAAAGATGGGCCAAGAAGCTGTTAGGTGGTTATGCCCATCCCTTGTATATCTTAGGACAAGACAGCTACATTCAGCCTCATGCAAAGAGAAGGGACAGAAATGGGTAATGTGATATGGGGATATCAGACAAAAAGGTCCTAGCCCAGCACACAGGATACTGAGAGGCAGTTCTGATCCTCCTAATTAGGATTTAGGGGAGTCTGTTCTGAAACTCCAAAGATGCTCAACACCATTCAAAATACTTAGGTCAGCCCAGTAAAGTCAATGAAAGTGTGCTTTAAGCTACATAAAGAAAATGTTCCATCTTTGGAAGTGAGAAAGTGCCCATTCTAAGATTGTTGCCTAGTATCAATTAGAAAAGTACTTGCCACAAATACAATAGTTCAAAAAATCAAAAATTACACCAACTTCGATGCCAGTGGTTAGCTTACCAAATTGTCAAAGATTCCGAAAATCTATTTTAGGAGATTCTTAGCATCTATATATATAAAAGCCTAAGTGACCGAATGGCCAGTTGCTACGGCATGCATTGACTACCAAGGGGCAGATGCTCAATGCAGGAGCTGCCCCTTGGTGGTCAGTGTGCTCCCACAACCAACCTCCTGAGCCCCCTCCCACCGCCGGCCAACCTCCCGCAGCCCCAAACAGCCCCAATCACTGGCTAGGCCGAGGGACCCCATCTGTGCATGATTTCGTGCACCGGGCCTCTAGTATTGACAATAATAGTGATTCTGTTTACCACTATATTCCCTCAGTTTGGCATTAAAAATGGACAGTATTGGTTTCATGAATGAAAAATTAGCATGCTTAAAAAGCTGGCAATCACATGGATGGAAAAGGCTCCCATTCATGACTGATCAAGTGTTTACTATGTCTCAGATTCTTTATCTGGTGCTAAGGATGCACCTGTGAAACTGAAAGATACAATCCTCATGGTCACTTAGTTCTGGTCTAGTTCAAAATATTAACAAGTTCAAGAAAATTACAGTAGAGTATGATAGGTCTTAGTTGTGGGGAGATTGTTATAAGAAAGAAAAAAAAGGAAAACACTCTATCTCAGTGCTAAGGAGTCAAGAATGGCTTGCGTCCTGTAAACACTACGGTAGAGAAGAAATGAGAGCTAGTGATGCTGCAGGTGAAGGATCTGGAGGCAGGGTGGGGAGCAGCCTTCTCGTTCAGAGAGCAGCCTCTGCAAACACTGCCGTAGAGATAGCACGCCACACGACACTGTGGCTTGGGCCTTGTCAAAGAGGCTTTAAGATGCTCTCTGAAGAATTTTCAAAGAGTGGACATTTAGCAACTGCCTGCATTTCTAAAAAGGAAGCATAACATATGCTATCATATGTTACAATTACTAAAATGGATGTTTACGAAGAATTTTGGTGACATGGGAAATATTTAGGTTTTAATAATAAATTTTAAAAACAATTAATATATATATGATGCTTACAATTAAAAAACTTAAATACAGAAAGTGCTAATAGTATAGTAACCAAAATGTTTTGATTGTCTTTGGGCGATGATTTATTTTTCTTCTGCATTTCTCTATTTTTTCTTTTTTGCCAACTAGGCATTATTTCTCATTATATTTTCATTTAAAATGTTATTTAAAGAAAAATAAAGATGAAAAACCAAAGGATTTCTAATAAAATGTAGCATTTTTCCTTAAGAATAACTATACAAATGCATATAGATACATGATTCATAGTGTCCTCTTACACCGTACAAAATGATAATTGTACATTTCAATTGGAAGCCGAGAAATCATAGTCTCTTTCTTATACTTTGGGGGAAAATTATTTAAATGAGAATTTGGCACACAGCTCTGACAATATTATAACAGTTTGGATCCCATATGTAAAAAAATACTAGAAAGTTTCGCATTGGATTATAGGACAAAATTTACTGCCCAGCCTAAGGCAGCTAGAGGCAGATTTGAAAGAGAAGACAAACTGGTCATTCCACACCCCATTTTCTGAAGCAAAAATGACCAAACTTTCCAAAGGAAAAATATGTTCAACAGCATAAAAAAGAAACTGAGAGTTGAAATGGCATCATCAGCTAAGAGAACAGAGGAAAGAAATTAGGACAAATAGTGCCAAAGTGAGGCTTTCCAGGAGGCCGAGGGAGGGCGCAGGTGGCTTCACAGTGGCTTTCCCCCAGCGCCCTTGCCACGTGGTCATTTTATGAGCACTACGCCTTGGGATTAAGAAGTCTGAATTTTGAAAATCTGCCCTATTAACACTAATGATAAGAATGGCTTACATGTGTGGGTATATCATATGTAGTACCTTATTTCATCCTCACAATATTTCCCATAGGGAAAAGCAAATTGAGTTTAAGAGGGGTTAAATAACGTTCCCAAAGACATATGGCTTATGAGCAGATCTGGAATTTGAATCCAAACCCTAAGTCTTAGCCCCTACTCTTTTCCTGCCTTGTCTAAAGAACAGCAAATAGTGTGAATAGACGTTCTTCTTTCTTCTCTACTTGTCTGAACCCGATATAGGCTTCCAGGACAAGCTGACCCCTGATTCTCCACACTCATCTGACTGACCATAAAAGTGACTCCATAGTTCTCCTCTGGATGGTAACAGGCTCTGTGTATACAGGAAGAGGATCCATTTGCCAGCTTTATCTCCCCTACAGAGGGGACAAATATTTTTAGGGCATTAATGGAGTCTCACTTATTTTCACATTTCCCATCATTCCCCTATGCCCCCAATGTACCCTGGAGCACAGTGAATGATCAAGGAACTGTTGCATTAACGAAGGCTGATCAGCCTCCGGCTTGACAGGTCAGTAATGATTTTTTACACAGAGCCCACATTTTTTTCAGAGCTATCCTAAAATCCCCAATGGTTAATAAAGGAAAGAAACCCCATTCAAACGAGAAGCTACCAACTAAAAAACAGCTTTCCCAAAGCCTTCTCACTGCTAAATAACCCTTGGTAAGATATGAATCTTTAGTCCCTAATGTCTTAAAATTAGCACCCCAACCAGTAATTTCGTAAATATGATTTGCTCTATATTTGAAATAAATTCATTTTCTGTCACTGACACATTTATTTTAAATATTCTCCCTTTAACAGTGAAAATATTGCTTCCTTCAGACTTATTCCTTTCTGCTCTTCAAGTGGTTTGGGGCCCAACAGAGAGGATCTGAGCAGATGATCCCATTGGCATTGTTAGCCAGCAACACTGTCTCAAAAGAGTCTGTTTTATGTAAAAAGTAGTTTCCCTTTCTGTAGTGTTACTTACAACTGCTGGTGAGGGGACGTGGATGCTTGCAACAGATCGCGGGCGGATGTGATTGACCAGATGGCAGAGGACAACACCATCCATGAGCGCAGCCCCCAGGTCTTCGTGCAGGCTGACCTTGAGTCTCATCTCAATGCTCTGTGGAGGAATCAGGATGTTTTGGTCAGCAATGGACCACATATACAGCAGTGGTATACCATATAGCAAAGGTGTGTAGTAGGCTGCACCATCTAGGCTTGTGTAAGTGTGCTCAATGATGTTCACAAAACGATGAAATTGCCTGCTAATTTCTCAGAACATATCCCCATTGTTAAGTGGCACATGACTGTATATGAGATGCTCACAATTCGGAAACAACTTAAATGTAGAAAGAATGCCAGTAGAAGCCAAAATGTTAACAGTGCTTGTCTTTGAGCAGTGGGATACAAAAGGATTTATTTTTCTTTAGCATTTCTCTATTTTCTCCAATCAGAATTATTTCCTATTATATTTTCAATTAAAATGTTATTTAAAAAAGGAAAAAAGTGACAAGTAAAGGATTTCTAAAAGAATATAGCATTTTCCCTGAAGAATTAATAAAATATGCAAATATGAATAGATACGTGATTGATAGTGTCCTCTTACATCTTATAAAATGATAATTGTATACTCAAATTGGAGGCCAAGGAGTTATAGTTTTTCCTTTGTAATTTGGGAAAACATATTAAATGAGAATTTGGTACACAGCTCCAACAACATTATAGCCGTTTTTATCTCATTTGTGAAAAATACTGGAAGTTTCACATTGGATTATAGGACAAAATTTATTCTCCAACCTAAGGCAGCTAAAGGCAGATTTAAAAGAGAAGACAAACTGTCCCCCTCCACGCCCCCATGTTTTCTTAGGCAAAAAAGTGGTCAAACGTTAGCCATGGTCCCTATCATCACAGAGCTGAAAATCTTTAATGTTACCCAGCACGTGACTTCATGCTTGGTAGGAACTCAATTAGTTTTTCCATTAAATGATTGACTGAAAAGTTCTGACCAGTTTGGGATATAAAGTGAGAATAACTTAAAACATCTTTAAGTTAATGGAATATTACTATTAAGTAACTGAAAAACAGCGCATTTGTTTAAAGTATGCCTGAATTGAAATAATACTAGCTTTATACATATGCATTAAGTAGTTCTATTTACATTATCTCATATATTACATACAAAATCACACTATGGTAGATTGGAACTATTATTTTAATACATGAAAAAACTGACACTCAGGGATGTTAAGTGACTTGCCCAATATCAAACAGTCTGTAGGTGACCTGGCTAGATTTGAAACTAGCACTGTTTGCAGTGCTTCAAAGTCTGTTTTTTAAAAAATACAATTGACCCTTGACCAACACAGGTTTGAATTGTGTGGGCCCACTTATATGAGGATTTTTAAAAAAATATATATTTTTATTGATTTTAGAGAGGAAGGGAGAGTGAGAGAGAGAGATAGAAATATCAATGGTGAGAGAGAATCATTAATCGGCTGCCTCTTGCATGCCCCCTGCTGGGGATTGAGCCCACAACCCAGGCATGTGCCCTTGACCAGAATTGAACTGGGGAACTTTCAGTTCACAGGCCAAAGCTCAATCCACTGAGCCAAACCGGCTAGGGTGAGGATTTTTTTCTGATAAATATGTATAGTACTGTAAATGTCTTTTCTTTTTCTATGATTTTCTTAATAACATTTCCTTTTCTCTAGCTTCCTTTATTGTAAGAATACAGTACCTATTACATGTTTAGTATGTGTTAATCAACTGTTGATGCTATTAGTAATGCTTCAGGTAAACAAGCTATTTAGTAGTTAAGTTTTTGGAGAGTCAAAAGTTATACTTAGATTTTCAACTGCTTTAGTGGAGATGGTTGGGGGAGAGGCGCCCCTAACTACCATGTTGCTTCAATTCTGCAAATTATTACTCAAATATATAATATTCCTTGGGTACCTCACGGAGATGTTCCATCAGTTCTTTTTCTTCTCTCATTTGTTCCATTTTCCTCCGAATTGTAAACTGCGGGTCTATAGATTCCAAATTTCTCTGAGGTCTTAGAAACACTATAATAGAAAGGAAAAAAAAGCCTTTATGGAGTGTGTCTAGAGTAGATTGCCATAACACTATTCATATTTAAATTAAGCAAATGGTTTCTTTATTTATCCCAAATAATTCATTCACCACTCATAGAAATAATGGTAAAAATGTGACACCACATGAAAGCATGATTCAAATATTCTAAAAAAGATTATAATTTAAAATTATACTGGGTTGTGTGGACTAACAAAAGCTGTATTTTTTGGTGGCAATAAACTGAATCCAGGGAAGAGCTTGGCTCATCCTCAGAGCCGGTCCATCTCACCTCTCTGAAAGACTTCATTCCTCTCTTATTTTCCCAGTGCTTTCATTTTAAGTTTTCATTTACATTACACTCGAGGTTTCAGTCTTTTCATTAAACTCAGAGAATCGGTTTCACATAAGAAGTCTCTAGAATTGCTTTACATATTTAAAATAACACAGGTTAATGATTTGTTGGCTAAAATTTTTCATAAGCTTGAGTTAAGAACTAAGTGATGATACACAGGATTACATGTTTGAGTGTGGAGTGGAAAATTCTACCTTCTAGCATGTCACTGACCCTTGCTTATATATGTAGAATATTTTGTACCCTCTGTATTAGTCTTTCAAAGATGTTATCCTTGTGAGGTTTAGACCGGTGGTATGTGAGGTCCAAAATGTTGGCGACCACTGGTTTAGAGCATACCTTTTTTCTGCAGCCAGAGGCTTAACTCCTTTCAGAGGGAGCACCACTGTTAGTTGCGATACTTGGAGGTTGTAATTTTAAGGACCTGAAGCCAACGATAATCTCTTAACTGCTAACTTTAAGGACCTGAAGCCAACGATAATCTCTTAACTTGCTAACTTTTCTAAAAGGAATCTATGGTCATCTCTAAAGAGCTAACTTTTTGGATACGCTGTCACTGGCATGATAGAAGGCAGAATTTTTGTACTCCACACTCAAACATGTAATCCTGTGTATCATCACTTAGTTCTTAACTCAAGCTTATGAAAAATTTTAGCCAACAAATCATTAACCTGTGTTATTTTAAATATGTAAAGCAATTCTAGAGACTTCTTATGTGAAACCGATTCTCTGAGTTTTATTATGACACAAAACCCAGAGGAGATTTAAACTTGAACTTTTTTTCTCCCTTGAGATTTTTATCCTATTAAGACTGTCACCTTTCCACGCACACAGAGGGAGCAAAGAGCTGGTAAGAGCCATATTTAGCTCCCATTGACTATGTATGTGTGTTTGGGGAGAAGGGTAGTGGAGCTCTTTAGGAAATTTTGGGCAGAGAACTCCAATTTTAAAAATCAATACAAGGTAGAAGGCTACATTGGCATGATACAATTCTAGTAATCTCATCCACCATAATGTAAATAATGTAGAATAAAAAGGTTATGCAACTATTATTCTATTTTGACAAGCATTTCCTATGAGCCACTTTAAGAGTTATTCCAACTTATTCTTTTTTTTAGGTTGAATATGGTTTACAAATATACTTCAAATAAAAAAACTAAAAACTCAAGTCCATTCCATAAAATCAATTATTCCACGCTCACCCAACAGTGCCATTTTAATCTCAATTTGTATCTTTGGACCAAACCATCTTATAAATGACTTTCATTGTACTTCATATGTCTCAGTATTTTCTTTGTAAATCAGTTCTAGAATTTTTGAATCAGCATTTTAATGCTCTGTGAAAGACCGAAAGTTTGACACATCTTAATAAACCCCTGATTTAGAGTTATGGAGAAAGGGGGTGATCTAATGTACATAATGTCTTCTGGAACCTCAGAGAGGAGTCAGCGTGGGGCTGAGCCTCTGCCTCAAGCCATCCAAGGAAGTCACAGGCAAAAAGATCCAAAAACACGCCACCAAAGGGCTGTCACCAAGGCCCAGGAAAACCAAACCCCACTGGAAGGGAGAGCAATTATTTCAAAAACAAAGGCAAGATGGGAAAAGGAAGAGGGCAGAGTAATCCAGCAGGGAGAAATGAGAAGTTCACGGAGCAAAGGGAAACGAAGGAAAGTCTGACGAAATAGGAAGCATAGAAGAAATTGTAAATGCATTAAGCTTGTCCGCACACCATACTGGGCCCAACAAAAAATTTTCCATTTAAACACAGCAACCACAAGGGATATATACTAAAATGTAAAATCTAGAAAAATAATCCACACCCGAAGAAAAAAAGTCAACCAAATTTACCAAAAAAAGTCAAGGAATATAGACAGAATTGAGCAATATACAAACTAGTCAGCAAGGGGAGCCCCAACACTGTTTTAAAAAATCTAATGTTTGAAGGATTTTCCTTTGCCTTTTTTCCTGGGGGCAATGTTATCTAATACTGCATGTTTAATATTTTCAATATGTTTTTATTGGCAGATTTCCTTCAGAATACAAAACTACCAGGAAGTTAAATTAACCATAAGCTTTTGTTTAACAGCACACAATTCAAGTCTACACCTTGTTGGAGCACTATGTGAGATAAAAGATATGCAATAGTGTCTAGGTTTTAATTTCTTGGCATCGCTTGTCATCTTAAATTCAAAATACAAAATGCATGCTTGGGTATTTGTCTCTATGATGTTAATTAATCACAAAGTGTTAAAATACATTTGAACTGTGGTTTTTTAAATGAACATTTCAAATGTACATAAAATTATTGCAAACCATAACTATACAACTACTACTAGTTTTTGAAATGGATTAATTACTGTGGGATAGATGAAAATTTAAAACAAAGTCTTTAGGCTAATAATAAATCTACAAAGCACTTAAGTGCGTGCTTATTTTGCTGGGCTTCTTAGGAGAGAATAATTTGAATTGGGACCATTATGAAAGCTCTGACTATATTACCTACAGTTTTTATTCTTTCATGTCATATTTACTTATGTCTCTCTCACAGTACACATCATTTTCTCTCTTACTGTATAGATCTGTTTCTCTCCATTAAAAAGGAAGCACTCTGACTTCGTAACTTGCACAAAGAGTCCTCAATGAACAGCTGTAGAATGAATGTAAATATGATAGACAGGAGCCCCGGGCATGGCCCATCTCCATCTCTATCTAGCAATGTGACTAGACAAGTCACCTCATCTTTCTGGTTTTAGTTGGCTCATCTGTAATGATAGACATTCTACTGTTACATAAGATGTCTAAACCTTTTCCAGCTTGAAAACAACAACAAAAAGTCCTTCAGTTTCAGATATCACTCTTAAGGAAATACCAAATCACACATAAATCTTTCATTCTAGGCTTTATCTCCTTTAAACAACATCAGATCCACAAATAGCCATGTTTTCTGAAAAAACAAAAATGTCTCCCCCTTTCATTTTTATTTTTATTTTATTTTATTTTTTAAAAAATATATTTTAT